TTTTCATTTTTTTTATTCTATTTCATTGTTGGTCAAAGGCCATTTATCCAAAATCATTGTTGAGGGGGGTTATTTGGCCAAATTTCCCTAAATTAATATTGATTTTCGACAAGTTAAAAAATGAAAATTATAAAAAGTGACTTCGATCATTTTACACAAAAACAAGGTTTTTCAAACACAAAGATTAGAATGTACGTCCATTTTTCACTTTGCAAACCGCCCTTGTGAAAATTTCTATCATTTATTTTGTTCAAAAAAAGTCTACATCAAGATACGAATTTTTAGGCCTACTTACTGAAAATTCCACGTAGAAAAACGACAGGGTTTTTGTTTTTCTCTTATTCTCTATATATAGCAAAATTTAAGGCTATTTCAAGAAAAGAAAAGCTTAATACCTAATGTTTTAACAACCGAAATATATGTTAAAGAAATTATACAAAATTTGCATTGCAATACAACTCATGTCCAAAATTGATTATACATCATAAATTCGGTGTTGTGACTAACCAATTAGAAAGACTGAGAATAGTGTACACAAGAAATAAGAATTGTGTTTGATCCCAACAACAAAATATGCAACTGAATTTATGAACCTTGGTGTAATAATTCGACCTACTTTTAAGGAAAACGAAACAATCTCTTAATCAACGTCCACAAAAGCAGTGCAATCGATGTCTTGAAGTGTTAATCTGCCCATGTATAACTCACTTATATGGTCATAACAAATAGGAACACACTTCCTATGTAAATTGTTCTGAATTGAGGACATTCCTAGAACCCAATCATTTTCATCCCTCGAGTTCAAATTCAAATGGTTCTGTAGAAATCGAATCCGGTAAACAGTAGTGTCCGTATGGTCACAGAAATGAGCTATGCAGCGGTATGAAGGTTCATCAGAGGCTAATTGGACCAGAACCACTGTCAGCGCCCCGTCTACAGGCTTTGGATCCGAAAGATTTCCATCTCCCACCATCTTCACTTGCTGTTCTGTGGGAAAGTGCACCTCCTCAACTCCATCAACACCCGAAACTTTTAAATCCTTCGTGAAATGTCTAATCGTCTCGTGCTTGGTGGACTCGTGCTTTTCTGCTAAAGTCAATATACAAGAAAATCTAAGATGATAACTCACTATAGTTTTAACTTTCTTGAAGTTATGACAACAGCAAAAGAAATCGAGCCATCTTCTCGCAACTCCAGCATACCATTTGATGATATCAACATCTTCAAGAGCCATAAGGAAACTAATTGGCCTTGGACGACCCATATGATTGGTAAATCCAACCATCTTGACTGCCTTGCGGATACGTTCTATAGGTGCATCAACTTTTATGCACAGTTTCGTCAAATCCTCGACTGTTCTTTTAGCATAGCTTTGTTCCTCTTCTTCTTCTATTCTTCTCTTTTCTTCCTCCAATGCTTTCTTTGCTTTCATGGGTTTCAAATACTTGTCGACTTGCTTTTGAAAGTTGTCGTAAGAATCCACAAGTTCCTGAGGCAATTGATCTCTAATCCTTTCCAAAGAAAGAAAATCTCCTGCTGACAGCTTCCGATGCCATTCCCATTGCTCGTCCACGGATCCCAAAAAGTCTTGAACTACTTCGTCAGCCCAATTGCTAAATATTAGTTTCACTTGATTCTCAATCTTGAAGTCACATTCGAACCCATTACTTCGTTTCAACTTCTTAAACACGTGACTGAATAGCTTCTCACCCAACTTTCTTCTATTTCTTTCTCTAGCATTTCTCAACTCCAAAAGTCTTACTTCTTTCTGTCTGAGATACTTTTTCCGTGCCCTAATCGCCTTCTCCGACATAGGCGGATCAAGAACTGAAGGCGTGACGGCCTGAAGCTCCATCCCCAAAAAATCAATTTTCTCAGAAACAGCACTATGAATAACTGTTTGCACTCTATCCACCCTCAACTCCATTTCCTTCTCCAAATACTTTACAACATTACGTTTCAAATCCATCGTTAACATCTTTGTTCCAGACGTAATAATCAATATTTCATCCAAATACCTAACAGCATATATCTTTAATGGCTTATAAAAGACACTACCCAAAACAGACGCCCTAGAAACAAGCTCATTTTCCTCTACTTTAGGACTCTCTTTGTTAGTTTTAAGCCGTAATTCTTGAATTTTCTTATCAAACCCATTCAAATATATATTAATCAAAATCGAACTCAATCCGCATTCTTGAGGAAATCCCGTACCTAAATAGCTACCTCCCAATTCAATTTTTACTGCCTCTGATTCAAACAGCCTTTTGATCAAACTAATCAATGCATTGTCTTCAATTTTCTCTTCCAGTATCAGACACAGCTTATCAACATGCCTAGTATCAAACAGTTCATGATCAAATTTAACACTAAACCACCAACTGGGATTTTCCACAGAGTTCTTTAAATACCTAAATGCAGTGTGCCGGCCCATGTTAACGCGGCCACCGTAGGAAAAGGTAACAAATCTATCGTCATAAATAACTTCAAGTACAATCCTAATAGCTTCAATTACAACTTTAAGTTTCAAATTGGGTAGTACAAGCGGTTTACCTTTGTGGGTCGGTGGAAAAATCGGAACACAACACGAGTTGACGTCAAACCGGTTTTCACAGAGCTGAAAGCAAAGTTCTTGGAGTGAGAAGAAGTTGGTGGACACTGAGTCAAGACTAAGTGGCAGTGACTCGGGCGAGTTTGGGGTGGTGGTGACCGGGTTTGCATGATTTTTTAAGCTGTGACACGCGGTAAGGAGGAGGGAGGGTGAAGCGATGACGTTTTGAAGGAGATTGTGAAATTTTTTATGGTGGTAGTGGGAGAGGACTATGGATTTGAGGGCTGATAGTGTTAAGGGTTCAATTTCTGTTGTAGGGTTTAGGAGAGTGGAACAATGGCGAAGTTTAAGCGGAGAGGCAGGCGGAGTTTCGATTAAAAGATGGTGGCTGACGGTGGAGATAAATTTGGGTTTCTGGAAGAGTTTCAAGAGCATTGAAAATTGAGGCGGAGGCGGAGGCGGAGGCAGAGGCGGAGGCGATGGTGGGTTTAAGAGACTACCGGTTAATTTAGACCTTGTTTGGGTAAATCTGAAAAAAAAAAAAAAAAGAAAGAAAGGGTTAAGCCCCGCCCCTCAGAGCATTGTGGATGAGGTAAATCACAGGATGTGCCTCAGCAGGTCAGCATACAAGAGCTGTTGTACTGACTGGTACGCACAAAGAGTCTAATTTCATACATTGGCTAAATCGACATTTGCCTTTGTTCGGTCCAAGTTATTTTTAAAATACATTTTTGTCTTTCTTATTTTCAATTACATATGTTTTAATAAAATAATATTACACGTAAATCGAATATATATTTATTATTATTATATATTTTTTTTTTAACCACAGACTCTCCATCAAAATTTTATTTGAATGCATTATTTTCAAAAAGAAAAATCGAGTTCAAACGTGCTCTTAAAAATTTTCTTTTAGTAAATTAGGCCTATACTCCCAACCTTTCACAAAGTATAATTATAGATCCTAATCTTCAAAAGTGAAGATTTGAATATCCACATGACCAAAATCGCCAATGATAAAATTGCACGCGATTTATAGTTGGAAGGCAGAAATTATCACGTTGTTTAATATTTTCCTCCAATTCAACTAAATATCACGTTTCGAATTAAGATTTATATATAGTGTCCTTGTTTAATTCTCATTACTTTCAAAATATATTTTTCTCTATTTTCTTTTCAAACAAACATTTTTCAATATTATAATATCATGCAAAAATTTAAAATTTTTTCTTTTTTTCAATCACACATTTTCGATCAACTATTATTTTAAAATGCATAAAATGGGGCTCAAACAGGTTCTGAAATAGGTTGAGGTTGAAAAATCGCCCAACGTAGAAGGTTTGGCAGCCAAATCCTAACGTTCTTGTTTTATTTTTGTCAATGCTTTTAGAACTTTTTAAGCGAAACACATTCTTTCAAAATACAATATTTCAAAACTTATTTTCAACTCCACATTTTTCAATAAAATAAAATTTTTCATCATATTAATAATTTTTCCTTACTTTTTAATAAGATATTTCTCATCATATCATTATTTAAAATACATTATTTCCTCCATAAT